CATGCTGCAGGGAGGCGGCGGGGCGCCCGACTGGGATGCGCAGCAGGCTCGGGGAGCCCTGGGAATGGGGGTGTCCGGGGTGGGCGGCTGCTCCGGCACCCCCCGGGGCTGCCTCCGCGGCACTGCCATGGAGCAATGCACGCAGACACACAAGAAAACAAGCATTAACCAAAGAAACCACCCTCAAAAAAACCCAACCCCAAAACCAATAGCAATGCATGTGGCAAAAGGCCAAAAGGCTCCCCAGCGCTCACCTGGTCTCGGGGTGTCTTTATGTCTTTATTTACTGTACCCAGCGGGGACAGGGGAGGGGGGGCAGGCAGGGAGACCCATTGGCAGCTCTGTCCTGCCCTGTGGCTTGGTCAGTGTCCTACCCCGTGGAGACACAACGGGGCAGCCCAGGGAAGTGCTGCGGGCAGCACCAGCAACAAAACCTCCAGGGGAAGGATGGTGGTCAGCGTGATGGAGCTGTTCTGTCTCACTTAGAGAAAAACCTTTTTTTCCTTATTGGAGGTGTTGGGTGTTGGTTTTGGGAGTGGGGTTTTTTTGTTTGTTTTGTTGTTTTTTTTCTCTTACTCCACCTTCAGGTTTACAGAGTCCTAAGAGGTTCACAGCCTCAGTTGTAGCACACACAGGAAGAATGTGAGCGCCCACTGAACACCAGCGTGATATAGCCTCAGCACAGTTTTTGAATTGTTTTGTTTTTTATTATTTTTTTTGTACTAAGGAGAAGGGGAGGGCCTTCTACTTGTTTCCAAACATGTATTAGAGGACCTTGTTAGTTCACACTAACACAGACGCACACTCATGTGCGTGTACACACACACATATCCCTATTGCTACACGTGTTGTATTAGCCTATTCTTTTTTAAAGTTAAGAAGAAGAGCTGGTGAAAAATGAACAGTTTGTCTTTTGCAGCCAAACACTCAACTGCTGTTTCCCCCTCCACCCTCCCCACCACGTGTCTCCTTTTTCCCAGGATGGCACTGTGGCTGCAGGGTGACATGGGGGGTGATGGGGATGTTCGGCCTGAACCAGGCCAGCAGAAGTGGCCGGAGGCGGAGAGGGTGGTAGAACCGGGGTTTGGGAGCTGAAGGCACCATCCTCAAATGCAGTTGGGCCTCCTGCTGCTTTGAAACCAAGGCTGGCCTCCTTTCTAGAGGCAAAACGCCCCAAATATGCATGTAAAAGTAACCAGCCCCCACTCGTGGAGCTGTTCACGCTGCATTTCTCAGGGGTCTGAGGATGTGCGACTTATTTTTCTTTTTTGGCCTCGTGCTTTCCAGCACAACCAAAGCACGAGGCCGATAGACCCGCAGCCCTTGACATACGTGTTGTTACAGACAGCCTCAAAAAGAGAAAAAACTAGAGTAGAAACCTCAGCTGTAAGCAGAGCTAAAGCCTAATGTGAGCTTCACTACGTGGCAGTTCGGCTTTCTAGTTGTAGTTTGGGTTTTGCTGTGTGTTTTCTGCGCTGTCTCTCCTCAGGCCCTGCGTTCCCCCCGCCGTCCCCTCCTGCGGTCCCTTGCCCCACTGCTTTTGAACTGAGACCTGTGCTGTCAGTGCTGACCCTTCAGTGTTATACTTCACGGGACTTCCTAGTCTTGTCAGTCTTTTAGTGTCCAAGTAATAAACACAATGGATTTTCAAGAATACGCAGATGCCCTCTGCTTCATTTCTATTCTTTTACAGTTACAAATTGCGAAGAAACCTGAACATCACAGAGCTCCAGGGTTCGGCTGCAGGGACGGGGGAGGCCGGGTATTGCAGCACATGTGACGGGGGTCTGGAGCGGTGAGGAAGGGGCAGAAGCAGCCGGCCAAGCAGGGAGACCACCGTCTCCTGGAGAAACCCCTGGGGGTACAGAGGGAGTCAGGCATGAGCTGATGCTGGTTGTGGACCAGCACGGGGCTGCGTACCCGGAGAAGTGAAAAACAAACCAGTGCCTGTAACGACTGGCCTCCTCCCAGCCCAGCCGACATGGAGGAACAGTGGAAAACTGAAGAAACTGTAGAGCGAGCTGTTGAATCACAGCCAGGGAAAGACAAAACATCCCATCAGCACATGTAGAGATTTCCTTATAAATTGCCCACAAAAGGGGCCATTTGGTCATCCTGGGAAGCCATCCGGCTGCCTGTGCCCATGCGATCACGTAACAAGCAATGACAAAGCATCGTTGCCAGCGGAAGCACACCACACGCAGAAGCACCTTTTGCAGGTTTCTTTTTATTTAAAAAAAAACAACAACCCTGAATTTGAAATACAGAGTAACTGGAAAAAAGTCTCACAACATAGTAATAAAACATCTTTATTCCCTCTTAAATATAATCTCTAAGACTATAAGCCTATAATTCCTGTTAAATCTCACTTAATTGAATGGTCTTTATAGGCTTTCCTCATTGGAGAATGAACATTGAATACTGGCTTCAACACAACATGGGGAAAACAGTAGTACGGGGAATAAATCACGAACTTTTGGTACCTCAGGAAACATTGCAGAACCTGGCGGAGACACAGCCAGCAAAAGGTGCGTACTCGCACAGGGCACCAGGAGCGAGGCTGGGGGCTGCACGTCCCCTCCCTCCCACCGGTTCACACCGGAGGACAAGGATGAGGTGATGGCACACAACACGAGAGCCTGAGCCTCACGCCACGCAGCCCCAGCAGGAGAGGGATAAGTAAGAAAACAGTGTAGGAGATGAGAGACACTGCAGGAGAGGTTCTGAGAGCAGCGCTCCTGCCATGGTCCCCCAGCTGGGACCCTGCTGCACCTCTTGGCTATGGCTCCTGGCTCAGCCCGTGGGTGACATGAGCCACGGTCACCCTCTGCCTTCTAGGTGGATTGAACTAAAGTCAAAAACCACAAGATTTTTCCCATAAGTGGGCAACTTCCCATTCAACCAGGTATCCCCTAAGCTGATGAAGTCGTGCTGCAAAGAAAGGGAATTAGACCACATAATGGGGTGAGGGAAGAAGAGCCCCGAGGGCCAGGTCTGCTGGTCCAGCTGCAATGACAGCTGGAGAACAGTCTCATGGTACCCTGGAATTAACAGCGTCCTGTCCTGTGGGGTTTGCTCTCCATCTTGATGTTCATGGTGACGATCCAGCAGAGCACAGGTGCCCTTGCAGGGCCAGGGCTCGGGCAGAGGGTGCTGCTCCCCAGCCAGCCCGGTGCACTCTGCCTTCTCCCCAGGGGTTGGGAAACAGCCAGGTCTGGCTGAAAAACATCTCCTCAGAAACAAATGTGAGGGAAAAACTGTGGGGTAGATCCAGTGAAAAGAGTGCTCTGCCTTTAGTGCCTTTTTACTGTCACATAACAGGAAAAAAAGTGTCAGCTGCCCCCCCCCCCACACACACACCCTCCTCTCCCCACCATTAACTGTTGCATAAGTCACTCAAAAATACTGATAGGACAAACCAGAATATTTTATGGAAACCTCCTTTTGCACTCCCCAGCCCCTGGAGCAAGCCAGGAGAGGTGATGAAATACATTCCCCGACACCTCCTGCTAGCAGTGCACAAAACCACGTGATCGTTCCAGACACTTCCCTGACCGGCATATGCGACTTCCCAGCACTTGTCTGTATTTTTCACTTATCATTTTTTTCTCAGTTTTACTGTGTCTTCCCTGCTGCTTTAATCATGGCCTTCTCCTGCCGACCTCCCCCTCATTAGGGAATGCCTAATGTCAGAAGGAGGCAGTTGCTGTGCTGCTACTGAACTTCTGCACTCGAGTCTTGCCCCAGCTGGTCTAGGGAAGGCTGTGGTGGCCCTCCCGTCCCCTCAGCAGCAGGCAAGTCCAGGGCAGAAACGAAGCGCTGCATCATGTCAATGTACTCTGGCAAAACCCGGCATAAGCTGCAGGAAAATGAAGAACTTCTCCAAGCCTGTCCGCTTACCTTGTGGGAATGAAGGTACTCAGGCCATGAGCACATCGCTCCGCCAGCTGTTGCAAAGCGCATGGTGCCCTGAGGACAGCAGGTACCACCTAAGGCAGCAGGTACCACCTAGGGCAGCAGGTACCAGCTACGTGCTACCCTCCTGCAGCCTGGAGTGTCACTGCTGTAGGAGACCTGAACATCAACTCAGTGCTGGTGCCGCAGCCAGGCCAACGCCTTCAAAAGCGGGTCTGGGATTTGAAATGACGGGTTTTTGGACACCTCAAACCCACCTGCCAGACCAGGTCAGAAGTGGCATCCTGCAGTGCCTTGGCTGCAGAGCACCTTGTTTGAAAACCAGGACTCTGGGTACGGACCTCCAAAACGGGGTGATCTGAATCCCCGTTCACCTGGGGAGACTGTGGCTGGCATGAGGGTACTCGGCACCCCGGTCAGACAGCTGCAGGGAGGGACCAGCACTGGGACATGAGCTGAAGAAACTGCAGTCACAACTGGACATGGACCACAGCGTTTGGTATGGGTGGGGTGACTCCATAGCACATAATACTTGCAGAAGGTGAGGGGTGGCTATCATGGCGAGAAGGTGCTCTCAGTTCACGGGGTGCTGACAGACACAGGGAAGACCACAGCACATAAATATATCCACGCACAGCCACAATCCGCAATGTCTGGGGGCTGCCAAGAGCGTCTAGATGTGGGGCTCACCGATAGCTGCATTCCTCTTCTCAAACTTCATTTTGAGCTCTGACACGAGGGCATTGTGGGCGCTGCCATGACCTCTCTTCTTCAGCTGCTTGTTTATAAACTTGGGAGTGAGGGAGCCGGACACGGTTGGCACCCGCCACCCTGGGGTGTCCCCACTAGGAGGAGCCAGGGCTGGGGGTGGTGGGGGCAAGGGGGCTGTCGGTGGCACGGGGGAAACCTGGATGTTGTTGTTGCTGTTCTCGTTGTGTAGGCTCTTGGCGTCGTCCTCTACGACAAACTTCTCCGCAGCATTGCTGGGCCTCTTGAACTTCAGCCACTCCATCCTGACTGTCCGGGGCTGCGGGGTCTGTCTCTTTTTTATGATCCTTCTTACCGGCATGATTTTGTTGGACCGCTTATTGCGCCAGAACATGGCAGTAGAGATCATGATAGTTATCAGCACCATTATGCCCATGACACCAGCTAGCACTCCTAAGGCTTTCATGGGGTTATCTTTAGTTTGCATCAAAAAGGCGGCCATAGGCCCTTTGTGAAGAGTCTGTAAAAGAGTACAAAGAAAACACATGACTTACTCTGTGGGACAGACAGTGACCCAGAAATTTCATTTGTCCAAAATATGTAACAAACAGGGCTGACCAATGGAAGTTGTCTCTAAAAAAAATGAGAGTCAAAGAGCCAGTCCAGGTCTGGCGAATTTAGATGGAGCAGGAGACGGGGCTAGCACTACAATATCGTACTGCCAAACACAGAAGCTTACAGGAGTATTACTGCCAAATTAGGACGGATTCCTGCGTGTCACCATAGTGTTTGGTTAACTTGCAAGAGCTGCGCAAAAAAATAATTGGCTCCAGGATCTGCAGCTGTATTGCTGTACTACATTTCAGAGTTAATCTCCTAGGAATAATGGTGTTGAACCCAAACAGAAGTTTATGAGTAGAAAATGATCTTTCAAAAACAGTTGCAGGTGCTAATGGTGATGAAGTTTATAGGATTATTACTGAGCACGGCATTAAAAAGATTATGAGAAAACTTCACTTTATAAAATTACAGTGTACAAATGAGCAGTTAGCAGGTACGTGCTGCATTCTGTTTTCAAGTACTCTTTTACAGACATAACAAACCTCTTTGAGGTAGGGGACATGAGTAGAGCTGAAGAGCTTTGTTTTCAGAAATAAAAGAAATAAGCAATCACATAAGCTACATATGGCATATTAAGGACAAATGAATGGCCAGTTCACTTAGCACACTGTGCGTCTTGGAGGTCCCCGTATAATTTTGCGGATTTTGCCCTGTGGGTGGAGCTTGGATCTTTTCACACTTTTCCAGTACATGATGGTGGAGATCACCATTGTTACAGAAATGGTGGAAAGGACGCCACTCATGCAAATTCCAAATATTGTCCACGGACGCTTCTTGAGGCCTAAAATATAGGATTTTACCCTGGACTTGATCTGGAAATATCAAAAATAAGAGAAATGGTCAACCCTCGCATAGTTATATTTGAAAGAGGCCAGTATCTATTCTAAATACAACTAGGGTAGAATGTGTACAGGATAGAGAGCATGTCAAATAAAGGGAGCTAAAAGTGCTGAACTAGGCACAGAAGAGACAGTTGCAATGATCTTGAACTGAATCCAGAAACACTAAGAGAAGTTAGGAAGCAGGTAGAAACACCTGCTCGATCAGGGAATAAAAGGTAGCAGTGCAGCGTGTAGATCACCCTTATTCATGGCATGGTGGTCCACCATTGGACTACATTGCCAAGAGACGTTCATAATGAATACCAGCTCCTGCAAGGGCACCTGGACAGACAGTAACGTTTGTGCAAGGCCAGGAGTTCCTTCAGAAATGGCACATTCACGAGCAGGTTTGTTTACCAACAGCTAGTCATAAAGCTACCTGTGGCTGCAGAGACAGGGCTACCCACTGTGCCCCACTCCTCTGGCCTCGACTCCAGGAGGGAATCATCACCCAAACTTTGCATGTGCAGTAACAGGTTATCTGCATTTTAGTGGTCTAAGCTCCCAGCTTTTAGTCAATGGGGAGAAAAGGACACCTCCAGAGTAGTAGTCACCACATGCTAAGATAGGTATCAAAGACAGTGAGTATGAGAGCCTTGTGATTAGATTGGACCTGAACCTCCGACTTTTAGACATTTAAAGCGAGATCAGATGGATTTCCCTCTAAACTAGGA